TTCTAGTAACACGTTGAGGCCGTGTTTTTGGAAGGTGTCGTTGATCATGTAGCCTTCGGATGTCCCAGGTTCCCTCTATGCTTGGTGTGCCCGTGGTGGTTATGATGAATTAGATGTGTTGTAGGTCTTCCTGGGGCTGGGCCTTTGGCTGAGTTGGTGGCTGGCTTTGTTTACACTCTAAGTAGTGTGAGCTTTTCTGACTCCCAAGTCTTCTGGCCTCTGTTGTGGGGATGGGATACTCCCCACCCCACAGGAGTGCAGGGGAGTGCCAGAGGGCTGAAATCTCCCAGCTGAGCAGAAAGCCTTGTATTTTTAAGAGTGACTCTTTGGCTTGAACTTTGGTTTTAGTTTAAATTTGACACATCTATTTAACCAAGTTTTTAATATCCTTTACATCAAGGGGTTTTCTAATTGATTGAAAATAAAATCCTTACATAAATCATTGTCTAATTTTAACCATTACCAACACAAGACCACAACAATTGTAAAGACCAGAAGTTTTTACTAACTTTCTTAGATAAGAAAACATTTTTGAGTTTGTATTTTTAAGAAATAACCATTTGGCTTTATACTATTTCTATTCTATCTCACTGAAACAAAGCACATTTTAAAGTAAAAAGACAATTTCCCCCCAAGTACAAGAGAAGAGATAGATTAATTTTTTCTTTTGTTTGTTTACTAGAATCTGTCTGTTCCTAGATTCTGAGTTTTGGGATTTAGCTCAAAGAATTTACATACCAGGTTAATTAATTTTAATAAGAAACTTAATTTCTACAGGTTCAATAATCAATTCAGAAGTTTTTACTCAACTTATCAGCATTTTGTAGCAAGTCTAAAGTAACTTAGCAGGTATTTTTTTCTTAAACTGTCTGGGCAGCTAGAACAGGAAAATACAGGGAAATACAGTATGTCCCCATCCATTCCATGCATATAAGTAGGTAAAGGAAAAGTCCAGTTTTACCCAACAACGGAAAGACAGTAGAGACATGGAAATGATTCTAGCACTAGAACAAAGTTCCAGGCAGCTGCTTGCTGAGACCAGCAGCAACCACTCAAACAGCCAGTTGCAGTGGGTTGGTGCTGTTTGACATGAAGCTTTTAATCCTATTATATTCATTTCTTATAATTTTAACAATTCTGTAAAAACAGAAAATGGCAAACTCTAGTATCAGGCACAATGTTGTCCTCTTCAAACAACTAGCTGGTAAAGCTTTAAGCATTTTTTTTTTACACAAACTCATTTTTTCCCTCTGATTTTTTTTCACAAAATCATTTTTCTATGAGTGGCTCAAAATCTGCTAGAGTTGGTAGTCCTGCTTTTAGATCTTGACCTCATGCATACTGTGATATCGGCACAGGAGAGGGAAGAGGAGGACAAATTAGGGAACATCTGGATGTGATGCCTTCTTATTCCCTTGAATGGATCTTAGTGCTAATTGACACAGATTCCATGTGAAGAGGTGAGAATATTTACTGGGCTTACTTATTGCCTTAGCCATTCCTCTACATTTCCCCAATTATTTAATTCCAAACTTCTTACCCCTTAATACCAAGGGGTATCTCTTCTGATGGTTATCAAGAGATCTTCTAACTGCTGCCTTGTTACCTTGTAGCCTGCCACTTTTAAGAGTATCTGTATGAGATCCTGCTTTCTGTGTTATTTTCCCCCACACATTGGGGTATACCCCATTTTATAAGAAGTTAAACTTGTCTCCAAGAGAAGGAAAGAAACAAAAATAGACAGGAATAGCCACTTACATATCTGAGAGTGGATCTGAGGCTTGGGCGGGTTTTTTTTTTTTTTGTATCAGATCCCTGTGTGGTTTTTAAATGAGAAAATATCTTCCTCAGCTGTCACACTGTGGCTCATGCTTTCATATTTATGGCATGGAATTAAATACACCTGCTGAGAACCAGAGAAAACTGCCCAGGCTTCTAGGAGATAAGTCCTTCATGGCAACCCTTGGATGGGTTAATATGGTACATTAACCTTTGGAGAACGATGTCCATCAGATGATGACTGGATTTGTCTTCCAACTGCTGAATTTGTGGTTTCAACAGAGAAGTGACATGGAAATTAGTGGAGCAAGCATGGAGGTGTTGGTGGCTGCTCAGATCAAGTGGTAATGGTGAGGGTAGAAAAGAGGGCAATGCAACTTGAAGTGTGGGTGCCAGAATTGTTTTGACTTAGTGATTGACTGGATATAATGGGTGAGGATGAAGGTAAAAGAGGGAAGGGTAACTCAGGTTTCATAGGCGTCATTTGCTGAGATGGCTGTCATTGTGGTGATATGTGGGACATATTTGATGTCCCACATAGTGTGTTAGAATTGCCATAAAGGATGAAGGGACACTTTATATATATATATATATATATATATATATATATATATATATATATATATATATATATAACTGGGGTACAGGCCAGAGGCTCAGGGGGTGGTGAGAGGCTTCACCAGAGACAGAATTGGGAGAAGAACAGGCAGATACACGAAGTACACTGCTGAAGGGAGTGGGCCAGGAGAGGTCTGCCACGCCATGTGGTCACCTCCGGGGCAGGCAGGAATCGAACTCATGAGGAAGTGGCTTTAGCTTCTTAGTTCTGCGCCTTAACCCGCTGCACCACGGGGGAAGGCCCAAAGGGGCTCTTTTTAGTGCCAAATCCTCATTTCTGCTGTGAAACACTTGTCATCAACCATGTTTTCACATTAAACATGGCCTGCCGTATTCCCAATTCTCGAAGTATACATCTGCCATTTGCTCACTGTATCTGGCACATCTCCTGCATCAGGCTATGCTACATGTACAGCAGGCATTATCCAACCCAATGGAGTGTGATTACCTTGATCACACAACCTACTGTTTTGCAGCCACTATCTCAATGATGGATGCAAGATCACTTCTACATCTCTTGGGCCGTGCAAATAATTCCACCCACCCTTATATCCCACAAATGCAGCACCCAGGCTGCCAAGGGCTCTCCTGGTTTCCTACAGAACTGTTTTCCCAAGTCTACCAGTTCCACTTGGCTGTGTGGTTGATACATAGTAAATTCCATTATTTGTGTGGCCCAACAACCTGATCCCATGGGGCTATGGGACGCTCCACTGTTGCTTCATCTTCTGACTTACCACTAGGCAAGCTCAGACCATGGGACCTCCTTTTCTCCATAGGAGTCTGGCATCTCTGGAGTCACAGGTCAGTCCGACTAGCAGATGAGACTCTGGCCATTGGGGTGCTTTTTTTTTTTTTTTTGGCAGGATGCAGGAAATTATGTTCAGAAAGCATAGAATAATCCAAGAAGGCTTCGGCAGTGGTTGTACTACAACCATTCATTAACACAACATTAACCACTCATTTCCTGCAGATGCCTTTGCTGTTGTTTGAAATTCTGAGAACTGTACTTCCTTCTTTCTTCCATAGATCTCAGAGGATGAGCCTTCTGAAAAGGATGCTCTACAGACTGGTCGTAATATTGTGGCTGCAGGATATGCCCTCTATGGTAGTGCAACTTTGCTGGCTCTTTCCACAGGACAAGGAGTGGACCTTTTCATGCTTGACCCAGTAAGTCTCCAATATGATGACATTAGCACTTGGACTCCATAAGCCACTGTGCTTTAATTCCGGTTACTGGGGAGCAGTTACTGATTATTCCTAATACTTGCTTTTAGGACCAGAGAGTCTTAATTAGGAAGCCAATGCCATCATTAAAAACATTAAAGACCTTTTTAAGGTGAAGATATTTGTGGTATACTATAAGGGTCAGTTGTATCTGTTTAGTTTTGTCCTTAAATAATTTATTATCTAAAAATTCAATACCAATACCAATGCCACTGATATCCAGACACAATCAAATAAAACTTCTTCAGTGATGAATCTGTTCTGTTGTCTTTGTTGTCCAGTATAGTAACCACTAAACTCTTATGATTTATCTACTTGCAGGGTGGATAATATAAATGTGAAAACTGGATTTGAACATTTATTTCTTTTTAAAAAATTAAAAAAAGTTAACATGTGTTTTCACCACTGCACAAGATTCATGCATTTAGGATCATACCTCCCCAGATGTATGTAACTACCCCTTACTTCTCATCATTGTGTCTCACTTCACTTTGCTCTCCACTTTACCCCAATTTACAGTCAGATTTGTCTGTCTTTTCCTTGCTTTGCTTTATTTCCTTAGATGCCACTTGTGAGTTAAATAATTTGGTATTTATATTTCTCCATTTGACTTATTTCACTTAGTACACTCCCCTCTAGTCTCATCCAAGTTTTTTTTTTTTTAAGATTTATTCATTTATTCATACAGAACTGGAGTACAGGCCAGAGATTTGCAGGGTGAGAGGATTTACCATAGACAGAGTGGGGAGCAGAACAGGCAGATCAACGAAGTACACTGCTGAGGGGAGCAGTGGGCGGGTCAGGAGAGGTCTCCCTCGCCATGTGGATCTCCTCCAGGGCAGGCGGGGATCGAACTCATGCTGAAGTGACTTACGCTTCTTAGTGCTGTGCTTTAACCCACTGCGCCACCAGGGAGGGCCAGTTTCATCCAAGTTTTTACAAAAAAAGACTTCATCTACCATTTATTAATCTACCCATCTGCTCTTGAGCACTTAGCTTTCTTCTATAATTTTTTTGCAAGGGAAATAGGAGTGTATCTATCCCTTAGAGTTAGTGTTTATGTATTACTCAGGTAGACACCTATGAGTAGGATCACCAGTATACATTCCCAACAACAGTGCTGAAGGTTTCTTTTTTTCACATTCTTGCTAACATTTGTTGTTTCTGTTCTTTTTGACATGGATGATTCTCACAGTTGTGAAATGGCATTTCACAGTAGTTTTGTTTTGTATTTAACTGATGACAAGTGCTGAATGTTTTTTATGTGTCCACTAGCCATCTGTATGTCTTTTTTTTGAGAAGTTTCTTTTAGATCTTCCTTCTATTTTTTTAATTTTGTTGTTATTTTTGAGTCACATGATTTCTTTGTAGATGTGAATATCATCCCTTTGTGAGATAAATGATGTGCAAATATTTTCTTTTATATCTCTGTGTGATGTTTTCATTTTAGTGATAGTTTCTTTTACTGTGTGGAATTCTTTTGTTTCATGTGGTCCATTTATTTATCTTTTTTTTTCCTTTACTGTTTGTGAGTTGAGTCCTCAAAACTTGACTGAAGTCAATGTTGTATAGTGTTTGGGTTGTGTTTTTTTTCTATGTATTTGATTATTTCAGGTCTCATGTACAAGTCTTGGCTATGAAAATTTATCTCATTTTCTCTAAATTTTGTAGGTAGCTGTGACTAGTGGCTACCCTACTGGACAGTGTGGATTGGAGAACTTATAATATATGTTATTCCCATCGGAAGGAACAAGTGGTAGAAAACCGTTTTGGTAGATTCTGCATTATTTGCATCATTCTCCACAATGAGAAAATTCTCATCAATAGAAGGAAAGGAATAGAATCCCAGGGTAGAATGGTAATCTCAGGGTAGAATGGCAAAATGCTAATTGAAGGAAGAAATAATTGATTAAAATCATAAGAGTTCAAAAAGAACAGCTGAGACTTCCTAGTAAGTGTGCATGAAAAATGCTCCTTAGACTCAATACATTCACTTGTGAATTCCACCAATATTATGTGTAGGAAATAATCTATTTTGTTAGAATACAATTGTTCATACTATTCTTTTGTTATTGTTAGTGTTCTCTCTCTTAAACCTATTGTACTTCAATAACAATGCCTAAGGTTTTTAAAAAATAAAAAATATTTCAGAAGAAATTTAGAAAACATTTGTAACTTACAGAAGTTCCCTTTTAAATGCTTAGTGTTTACTTATCCCTTGCCAAGTATTGCAAGGTCTTATGAAAACCCAAATAATTTTTATCAAAGTCCACCTCAAAATTTCCAGTGTTTAATCATTCAAAGTTAAAGGTTTATATTTAAATTTAATGTTAATGTGCTTATGTTTATTAAACATCTTCATCAGGTATGCTCCAAATCACCGTGAGTATACAGCACTAATCAGACAAACATTCTAACCCTGTGGAGTCTCCATGCTGGTGTATGTGTGTGTCAGGGTGGGGAAGGAGCAGGGTGAAAAAGTTCTAGAACAGAGTTGAACTAAAATTTACCGTATGCAAGTCAGTATCTATTCAAAGATAACTTTTCCTAGAGGATCAAAATACATGACTAAATCAGTTTGTTGATGCCATGATTTCTACATATTTATGAAAAAGAGGTAAAATGAGAAATTCTAAAGTTTACACATATTACTCTCAGACAGTAGCTAACCTTTGGGGTAAATGAACTTTGCTCTGTTGTTTGCACCATTGGCTTCTGTGGCTACCAACTATTGCCTTGAATGTAGCAGATACTTGGGAAATTGAATTCAGGATATGCATGCCTGATAGTGGACACCTGGAGTATGGAGTGGGCATGTGTAAGTAGGTCAACTGAGCTGAGAGACTGAGCATATGAAGGTGTGTGGCAGAGGATGAGGATGGCTGCTAGAAGAGATCATGAGAGGGAAACAGAGATAAGCCAGAGGAAAGATTCAGCAGGGACTTGGAAGCCTCACAGCTTCTCAATCCCCCAGGCCACTTGGTCCACCCTGTTGTCTGCCTGTACTACAATTTCCTTTTTAAATTTTTTCTAGAATATTAACTAGCAGCTATACAGCAGTTATTGAGTGGTGGGAAAGTGTCTATCATAAGCAATTTGTAGCGTTTAGAGCTCAAACATCCCTAGGAGTTAGTCTTATGAAATTCTTACTTTCAAATAAAGAAAGGAAGCACAGTATGGGTAAATAATTTTATGGCTATTGGTGGGGCCAGCAATTATTCTCACACTGACTTGTGCTTAGCTATAATGACAGAATGAATTTTGAGTGAACTTCTCAGAGTGCAAGCTAAATATCCCTAAGAATATTATTGAGACCCTCCCTAGTGGCACAGTGTGTTAAAATGTAGCACTACAAGTGAGCTGCAGTTGCAATTTGATCCCTGGACTTAGAGGTGATCCAGATGGTGCAGCAGACCTCTCCAGTCTCACCTACTCAGCAGTGTACTTCATCAATCCACCTGTTCTTCTCCCCATTTGTCTCTTGTGAATCCTTTCACTACCCCTGTGCCTCTGGCCTGTAACCCAGTCTGTATGAATAAGTAAATATTAATATTATTAAAAATTACTCCATAATAAAAATTAAAAAAAGAATATTCCTGAAATAGAGAGTTAACTTAGACTCAGATACCTAACAAAGGATTCTGCAGATTCAGCTTTCCATCTTCAGTGTTGGTATAGGTAGGCTTGAATTTGTCTACATCAGAAAGCCATTTGGGTCATATAACCCTACTGTTCAGGATATTTGAACAAAGATTCAGTACGTAAACCTCAGGTCCTGGTTATGAAGTTGACTTGAAGTAGCTTATGGCAGATATAGTTGGAAATACTTTGGAAGGTGGCTTGTAGGCTACATAGGCTGAACCTCTCCAGGACAGTTATTGGTAGATGTAACCAATATTTGCATGATATATGAGACTGTATGACTGGTAATTTAATTTTGTCCAACCATACATTTTGTTCAGTCACAGAAATACCAACCATGATAATCAAACTCTATTACAGCTTAAACCACAATGTCAAGATTTTCATTTACAAATAGTAGGTATTGTTTCTGAGTGACAAGGATTTGATACATAATAATTAAGTACAGGCACACCTAAGAGATATTTAATAGTCTGTTCTAGATCCCACAATTTAGCAAATATCACCAAAAAGCTAAATAATACATAATAAAGTGAGTCATATGAATTTCTTTTTTGTTTCCCAGTGCATTTAAAATCTGTTTTCAGGGGCCCTCCCTGGTGATGCAGCCAGTTAAAGCACAACATTAAGAAGCTAAACCACTTTAGCATGAGTTTGATTCTCGGCCAGGGAGGTGACCCACATGGAGTGGCAGACCTCTCCTGACCCACTCACTGCTCCCCTCAGCAGTGTACTTTGTCATTGGCCTGTTATGCCCCCTGCTCTGTCTCTGGTGAACCCTCTTACTATCCCTACTCCTCTGGTCTGTACCCCAGTTCTGTATGCATAAATAAATCTTTAAAAATTGTTTTTGATGTGCTGTAGTATAAGTGTACATTAGCTTATATCTGGAAGAACCCCAATGTACATGCCAATATCTGAATTTTTTTAAAAAAGTTCATTGCTTAAAAGTCCTCATCATTATGTTAGCCTTCAACAAATTATAATCTATTTTTTGCTTTTGTATTAGCAAAGGCATACTTGCAAATTTCAGTAAAGCAGAACATAATAAAGAGAGGTGTGTCTGTATTATTTTAGCATTATGTGATAGATCACCTAAATAATCAGTGGTTTGAAGGTAGGGTAAGGCTCCATGATCCTCTCAGTCTAACAGTAGGGAACCATTCTCCTGGGATATACTATGTCCATACCCAGGCCCAGAGGTAGATGAAAATGTGAATACCATTGTTTAGACAAGCTGCATTAAGGGAGAGAGAACTCAATTAAATAAGGGATATTACTACATTAATGAAAAAGCTGAGGATCAAGGCTGGGAGTAGGCAAACCTAGAGGGACAGGATGCAAGAATCACAGGAATGGCATCATTGCATGACCAGTCTTATCTGTACACTACCTGTGATTCTGTGCCTCTTGCTCAGATTCTAGAATCAAGGAGGAGTATATACATTTCCAAGCTAGGTCAGGTGTCTGATGTTGAAGTAAAGGAGGCCCAGGTTTGACTATTACCAGACTCACATCTCTCAGGAAGAGATAATTCTTCCATGAGTTTAGAGTAATTATAATAAGCAAAACTCCATGCTGTGCTGATTCTCAACAAAAGTTCTCACAGCAATCTCATGACCAGAGACCATCAAGAACGTACTATGTAACAACAACAAAAAAGTTGGATAGTGATAAAGGACAATATATTCCTGAGTAGTCCACTAGGAGAGATTAATACATGGATACTAGGATTTGTAATACATGGATTTTATTTGATGATTCTAAGGAAGCTTTAATAAAGAGAGAGTCTTTCTAGATTGGGAAGAAGTGACTGAAATTAATTATTATATTGAACACTTTTTATTTAGGAGTTGGGAATTTAAAGAGAGAGTAGATTACTTAAGAAACAATCATCAGTCATGTTTAGCAGAAGATAGGAATGTTGTTATTGTTATTGAGCATCCTTGTCACTGTCTTAATTCAGATATTGCAGTCTTGTGTCTTTTTTTTCTGGGTGTGCTGTGTGTGTTCATTAGGAAGCTTCTAATGTTTCTGGCACTTGTAAACTGCCATCCTGGAAGATTTTAATTTCCTCCAGTTTTGAAGGAAATGAATCAAATAAATTTTCAGACCCTGATTTTCCTTCTAGTGACTTAGAGACATTTAAAATTTTTTAAAAATCATATAATAGTTTATTTTTACATCATTTTGTGACTTTTTCCATCTCAGTTGTAATCCCTGTGGGCTTCCCATCACCAAATCACCCTTGTGCCATTACCATAGTCCAGTGCACTACCCCCCTCCATTTTTGATCCCATTCCCAACTCCACCCCCATAAAATGTCTCTGGTATATAGTTGTTCATTATTACTATTATTTTCTCTTCTGGTCCTTTATACTCCTGCTATGAGAGAAACTATCCAGCATTTTCTCTTTTCTTTCTGGCTTATTTCACTAAGCCTGATCCCTTCCAGTTCCATCCGTGTTGCTGCAAAAGGCATGTGTTTATCTTTTTGATTGCTAAGTATATTACATTGTGTATATGTACCACATATTCTATTTTTTTTAAAGATTTATTTATTTGTACATACAGAACTGGGGTACAGGCCAGAGGCTCAGGGGCGGTGAGAGGCTTCACCAGAGACAGAGCGGGGAGCAGAACAGGCAGATCGACGAAGTACACTGCTGAGTGGAGCAGCGGGCGGGTCAGGAGAGGTCTGCCACGCCATGTGGTCACCTCCGGGGCAGGCAGGAATCGAACTCATGCGGAAGTGGCTTTAGCTTCTCAGTGCAGTGCTTTAGCCCATTGCCCCACAAGGGAGGGCCTGTACCACATATTCTTGATCCAGTCATCTACTTTTGGACATTTGGGCTGATTCCATGTCTTTCCTATTGTAAAGCAGCAATAAACACGGGGGTGCAGCTGTCATTTTGAATCAGTGTTTTTGTGTCTTTTGGGTAGATACCTAGGACTGGGATTGCTGGGTCATGGAGGTTCCATTTTTAGCAGTTTGAGAAACCTCCAGTTTTCTATAGTGGTTATACTAGTTTGAATTCCAGCAGTGCAGGAGAGTTCCTTTTTCCCCACATCCTTGCCAACATTTGTTGTTGCTATTTTGAAGATGTACCATTCTCACTGGGGTGAGGTGGTTTCTCATTGTGGTTTTAGTTTGCATCTCCCTATTACAAGTGATGTTGAACATGTTTTCATATGTTTGTTGGCCATCTTCATTTCCTCTTTGGAGAAGTGTCTTTTTAGCTCTTCTGCCCATTTTTAGATTTTTTTTTACTGTATTTTTGTTCAGTTTCATGAGTTGTTTGTATATCTTTGTGTTCAATCCTTTATCTCTAGTTTTGTGTGAGAAAGTTTTTTTCCCAGTCAGTGGGATATCTGATTTTGTAATGTTTCTTTTTCTATGCAGAAGCTCTTTAACTTGATGTAGTGCCATCTATTTATACTTTCCTTCATTATCGTTGTGTTGGATGCTTTATCTTTAAAGATGTTACTGAGGTGTATGTTGTGTAGAGTTTCACCCATTTTTGCTTCCAGGTATTTTATGGTTTCCATTTGTATATCTAGGATTTTAATCCACTTTGAGTTGGTTTTTGTGCATGGTGCAAGGTAGTAATATAGTCTCATTTTTCTTTTTTTGCATGTAGTTTCCCAGTTTTCTCAGCATCATTTGTTGAGTAAGCTTTCTTTGTTCTATTGTATCTCCTTTGCTCCTTTGTCAAAGATTACCTGTCCATAGACCTGTGGGTTTTCTATTTGAATCCACTAGTTTGTGTATGTGCTCTTGTTCCATTACCATGCAGTTTTGATTATTAAAACATTGAGACTTTTAAGGTAACATCTACAACCAGTCAATCATATACATGGTGATCAATATCACCAGCACTCATATACCCGTGAGACATCACAAAGATAGAGACCACAATGGCTAGATAAGTTGGGCACATTTTCAAAAAAATAATTCTCAGGACTTAACCATAATGAATTATTTCTTATGATGAGTAAATACATCTTCTGACTGAAGATATTTCTCCTTTTTCCCTTGTAAGAGTCATTGAAATTTTAATGCTTTCCAAGAATGTGTAATTAAAGATTTATAAAATAACTGTACCACAACAAGTGGTCAAACTACATTCCCTACCTTTATAAAAAACCTAGCTGTGTAAATTCTTACTCTCAATTTTCCTGGAAACAATAGGATTCAATTCAAAATGAGAACTTAGGGGATAATACAGTGAGCCTCCATTGAGATGAATAACCTAATATACAATGAAAATTATAGAAGATTCCTCATTCCTTTGACATATTTTAACTCTTGTGATAGTACTGTTTGAGCTTCCTATGCATAGTCTTATTTGTCACTGTTTTATATAGAACTCAGTGGTTGGACTGAAGACACTTCACAAACTCCTGGCTCTTCCAGCAAGCCCATATCCACTAATATTCTCTGATTGTTGGGGAGTATGTTGTCAGCTTCTATTTCCTGGCATTTATTTTCATCCTGTTGTCTTAATCTCTCTAGGCTCTTGGTGAATTTGTCCTAGTGGAAAAAAATGTCAAGATTAAAAAGAAAGGAAAGATTTACAGCCTCAATGAGGGCTATTCCAAGTACTTTGATGCTGCTACCATGGAATATGTGCAGAAAAAGAAATTTCCTGAGGTGAGTGAAGAAAACCTGACAGTAGCAAAGAAAACGGTATCCTCATTCTCCCTGGAAACATGGGTTCAAGTTTCAGTGGCAACTTTGAGAACCTCTCTGAAAAAGAGGTGCTCATGTTTATGGCTGGGTCAATATGAAAATGGTAGATCTTGCCTTTCTTCACAATTAGTATCTATTTTATAGCCAAACATTGTCTAATACTACATTTGCATTTTCCCAGGAAAAATTGTTTATAAAGAAGGCATTTTCAAAATTTTCAAAATTCATAATTTCAGTTCACAACCATTCTCATGTTAATTTGTTTACTGAGCCAATATAGATTTTTGTCACTTGTTATATTGCTTCTAGCTGAGATAATGGAAAGTCCAATTTATATTTAAAGTTTTAGTAAACACTTGACTCTCAATTTCAGCACTGAGTTCTGGACTTCCTGTTGTGATCTATATAGCCCAAACAATTTATTAGATATGTCTACCATACAAAAAGAGCTTATAAGACAGGTATGGGAGCAGAGCTGAAGAATTTCCAGAATCAGTGTGTAAAGTCTGCCCTAAATTGGAATGCAGTGAAAATTTATTTACAAGTGGAGGCTTATCTTTCCAGATTCTAGGGGGTGTTTTAAGAGAGGCCCCTCTAAAATTGTGGAAAGACAGTCATGTGCTGTGCTATTTCTTGTGCTACCTGAATCTTTGCATGAGCTCCAGGGAATACCACACAAGGTTCTGTGGTGCCAGGTGCCACCCAATGAACTGGATGTTAGGACCTGCTTTTGCTGCCTCAAATAGAAACTTGTTAGTGTTTTCTTTTTTTATCATTTAAAT